AAAATAAAAAACAAAAAAAATTGAAATTTTTTTTAGTCATTAGTGAACTTCTTTTTTTTTTTTCAAATTTATTCATAAACATTATTACATTATAGATGTATCTAGATTAGACGCAGCTAAAAAATAAAAACAAATTGAACTAAAAAAAGAAAAAAGTTTACCAAAGATGAAAAAAATGAAAATATACTGACTCAAACACTTGTATTGTCAACTCTAAAATGAAAATTTTACTATCATTTTTTTCGTCTTTAGTGAACTTTTTTTTTTTAGTTAAATTTGTTTTAATTTTTTTAGCTGCATCTAATCTAGATGGATCTATAATGTAATAATGTTTATAAATAAATTTGAAAGAAGAAAAAAAAAAGTTTACTAAATTTTTTTTTTAGTTTTTGTTTTTTATAAACATTTTTTTTATTTTTTGTTTCTTTAGTGAATTTTTTATATCACATATGAAGCTGATGTATTAGTGATGTGACAAATTCTGTTACTTTTTTTTTTTATGGAAGTTAGTTTAGCAGTAAAGTGAGAATGATTGCAAATATAGAGTGCCAAAGTAAGAAGAATTACAAACATGAAGAGTCAAAGTGAGAAAAATCAAACTTAAAATACTAAAATGGGAAGGATTGCAAATATAAAGGACCAAAGTAGGAAGAATTGTAAACATAATAGGCTAAAGTAAGAAAAATCAAACTTAAAGAGTTAAAGTAAAAAATAGGTAAAATTTTAGGGGGTAAAGTGTAATTTATCAGAATATAAATGAAGCAAGTTGGCTACAGCAATGTCCAACCCAACTTAAATACTAGTTAATTTTCTCAGGAAAGAAAAATGAAAAAGAAAGCAAACGAAAATTCCACAAGTAACCTTCAAGACAGAGAGATTGGTTAGAGTTTATTTAGACAGTCTGTCTTTGTCTACTAGTGAACTCGTCATGACTCACTAACTACCCAGTATTTCGGAATACAGTCCAATAATAGCCAATTACAAAGCACTGGTTTGACCTGATGAGTTGGAGTGAGCTGTGACTAAAATAATTATAAAAAGATGAAATAAAGTTCTTAATTTTAGATTAAAAAATATCATATTTAAATTATAATTATTTTTTTCTATAAAAGTCAAAAAAAATGAAAAAATTTGTTACAAACAATATTTTTTAATTCCAGACTAAAATAGTTAAAAAGTTAATCCATATCTATACTATATATTAAGTAAAATGGAGTTTTTAACCCCAAGTATTGTGAGAGCTCCAATCTCCCAATCTAAATTTCTTGATTTTTTGATTTAAAAAAAAAAAATCTTAACATTTATTAATTTCTCTCAACTCCCAAGTCTTACAATCATAATATCACTTTAATGCATTAAGAACAAATATAAAAAAAATAAAAATAAAAAAATTGAAATCCAACACATGAGTTCCTTGAAAAGTTCCAACAGATATGATTATTATCCCTCATAATAACACTTTAATGTATTAAGAACAAATATAAAAAAAAATTCTTGAAAAGTCCAATACATATGATTATTATCAAAATATTAAACTTTAATATAATATAATAAAAAAAAGACATTTAATTCCTTGAAAAGTTCAACACATATGATTATTATCAAAATATTAAATTTTAATATAATATAAAAATGAAAAAAAGAAGACATTTAAAAAAAGAGAAGAAAACATTTAAAAATCACAATTCACATATATAGATAATTGTAAACACAATCTGTGCATAAAACGGGTGATATGCTAGTCTCAAATAAAGCCAAAATAATAAGAGTAATATTAGAGACTCTAAAAATTCTACCAAATGTCTTACATTGGTGTGGGACCCTTCAGTCTCATGCGACTCTCACACCTATGTAAGAGCATCTGCATCAACCTCTTTAAATTTTTAATCAAATTATAATCCAAAACCTATTTTTACTATTTTAACTAGTCACTTTTTTAGTATTCACTGTATCAAACTCTCTATTCTAACTCAATTTTATTAAAATATTAATTTCTTATTATATTTGTTATTCTTTCTTTTTTTATTAAATTGATGAGGTGCCACCCAAACAATCCTTAAAAAATGTAAAAAAATAAAATAAAAAATTGTCATTGACCGTTGACCAGCCGATCGACCAGTTAAGCTAATTTTGGGTATTTTTCTTCTTCTGGTACAGGCACTCACGGGACATCTAGTAGGATATTCGGGGAGGATATCCGAATGGACGACCAGTTTAAAGATTTTGGCCCAATTTTGCTCCAAAAAATATAATAAAAAATTATGTAGCTAATGAACAGTACCTCAACAAAGTTGTTGAAGTATTGTAGCAAATTTAACAAAAAGTTCATTTAAAAAAAATTTGTTGAGACTGATGGAGGAACAATTTTGTGATTTACTAACTACATTTTACCGGTTTGTTATTTTGGTTATGCTGATGCGGATGCTCTAAGACATTTGGTATAATTTTTGATAAAAAATTTTCGGTCTTTAGCATTTTTGAAATAATAATCAGCTTGTTTGGTTTGGTTTTTTAGAATTCACTTTTTAAAAAATTGAATTTTTTTATTTTTATATTTTTTTCACTAAATTTTTTTAATATTCTAAGCAATATTTTTAAGTTTTAGATACACTTAACATAAATATACTTAAAAAGTATAATATTTGTGAAAAAAATCTTTAAAAAATTTACTAAATACAAAAAAAATACTATAATTCAATACATCTTTCGTATTATTGTATATTTATTAGTTTTTTTATAAATATTTTACTTTTTAGATATATCTAAGTAAGGTGCATCTAAAAAAAAAAAATTTACTTAAAATTTTAAAAATATTCACTAAAAATAAAAAAAATTACGAAAAATAAAAAACTCAATTTTTAAAAAATTAAAACCAAACACAGTGGATAAAATTATTTAAGGTTTAATATAAGACAAATGACTTTTAAAGTGTAGGGTTGTTATTTACTCTTACCTTTTTATTTTGGTATCGCACTTCTTTGAGCTCTTACCCACAAAAATGAGTTTTCTTCATTTTTTTTTTTAAAACCGTTACCTTAATATCAACTATACCCTTAACTCGAAATCAAATACAAACTCTAACCCCTAATCCTAATCCCATCCCCACCCACTCCGACTAGCAGTTCTATCCCTCATAATACCACCTTCCATAACCTCCGACCACTACGAAGTATAATGTACATTTCAAAATGGAGTGTTTACTTATATGCCAAGTTACAATCAGTGTGTTTGGTTTGAGTTTTTTGGATTAAGTTTTTTGAAAATTGAATTTTTTTGTTTTCGTATTTTTTTGTTTTTAGTGAATATTTTAAAAATTTTAAACATTTTGTTTTACTTTTTTAGATGCACCTTACTTAGATGTATCTAAAAAGTAAAAAAAATTGTGAAAAAATATTTTAAAAATTTAATAAATACATAAAAATACAAAATATGTACTGAATTGTTGTATTTTTTTATATTTTTGGTATTTAGTGAATTTTTAATTTTTTTTTTTTACAATTTTTTAACTTTTTAGATGTATTTATGTTAGATGTGTCTAAAAAGTAAAAAAAATTCTTAAAATATTTACAAAATTCTAAAAAACACGTAAAATAAGAAAGTAGAATTTTCTGAAAAATATTTTTTGAAAAATAAAAACAAGGCAGTATTTGTTTATGACCCATTGTGATGTTAGTTTAAACTTAATTATGATATATTGTAGTGTTAGTTAAGACTAATTATGATATTGATTATAATACATTGTAGTGTCAGTTATAACTGATTGTAGTGTTAATTATGACTTATTATATCATTATTTTAGTTATAATCGAAAATATTTTTATAATATGTGATATTTGATTATAATTTATTATTTTTTTAGAGTATCTCCAATAGCAAATGCTATGATAGCATTGCCATTGTTATAATTTGACAATGAATAGTAAAAAATTATACAATTATGGTAATGGTACTCTAATGGTTAGATGTTATTTTGGTAGAACCAAACACAGAAACTGATGTGGCCGGATGACCACCTAATCAACTGGGTGGTTGTTCGACCAGTCGTTCCGAACACATCAGTTTCTTTATCTGATTATGCAAAATTGGCGATTTTACAAAAACTTATCTGTTTTGCTGGAAGGAATGAAGGTTTTGCCTGCGTTGACACATATGACAGCTATCATATAGCACCATTAGAGCACAATTTTCTTCTCCAACTGTCAAATTATAACAATAATAATTCCAATGACAAACCGTTACAGATGTAGTTATGTTAGTATTTAGTAAATTTTTTTAAGATTTTTTTTATAAATATTATACTTTTTAAGTGTATTTTTATTAAGTATATTTAAATTTTTTTAAAATTACTTAAAATATTAAAAAAAAGATAATGGTAGGGATACCAAATTTTCTACTAAATAAATAATCAAATATCTCACATAGGTGCGGGGTTCGCAAAATTTACGAACCTCATACTTATGTTTGCGGACTCTATACTCATGTGAGACGTTTGATTATTTATTTAGTAAAAAATTTAAAATTTGTAGCATTTTTCTTAAAAAGGATGAAAACAAAAAATACGAAAATTGAAACTAAAATATGCCAAATAATTTAATAAAAAGCATTAAACAAAAAAAAACAATTTTCACAATCCAAATCCACCACCCACCGCATGAAAAAATTACTTAAAATATTAAAAAAAAGATAATGGTAGAGATACCAAATTTTCTACTAAATAAATAATAAAATATCTCACATAGGTACGGGGTTCGCAAAATTTACGAACCTCATACTTATGTTTGCGGACCCTATACTCATGTGAGACGTTTGATTATTTATTTAGTAAAAAATTTAAAATTTATAGCATTTTTCTTAAAAAGGATGAAAACAAAAAATACGAAAATTGAAACTAAAATATGCCAAATAATTTAATAAAAAGCATTAAACAAAAAAAAAACAATTTTCACAGTCCAAATCCACCACCCACCGCATGAAAGGTACGTTATTGGGCATTTGCTCACAGCTGTTCACAAACAAGTCCAGAGAGAGACACAAAACTCTCTCAATAATACCCCCTCCACCACCACCTTCAAATCATTCCCAGTCCACACACACACACAGAGACTCAAAACTCAAGTCACAGTCCCCAAAACGAAGTTCAGATCAAAACCCATTTCTCAGCATTCACAGATCTTCCTATTCAGATCTGGGTTCTGATTAGATTTGGCATAGGAGCATGTACGGTCGAGATCCATGGGGAGGTCCGCTGGAGATCAATGCTGCGGACTCCGCCACCGACGACGACCGCAGCAGGAACCTCCACGACTTCGACAGGGCGGCGCTGTCGCGGCCTCTGGACGAGACGCAGCAGAGTTGGCTTCTGGGTCCTGGAGAACAGAAGAAGAAGAAGTATGTTGATCTGGGTTTCATCATCGTGAGTCGAAAACTGTTTCTTTGGACTGTTGGGACTATCCTAGCCGCTGGTTTTCTTGCTGGGTTCATCATCCTGATCGTCAAAACTGTTCCCCGCCACCACCGTCCTCAACCGCCGCCGGACAATTACACCGTCGCTCTCAATAAAGCCCTCGTGTTCTTTAATGCCCAGAGATGTGAGCCAAAATCTCATTATCTATGTTTTGATTATATTCATCTTGATTTCCATCAAATTGAAAGAAAACCCATTTCAAATCTTTTATCTTTTAACAATTTCATCAAACTTTGAGTGGAAATGGGGTTGTTGGAAATTGGATGAAAGATTTGACTCATACCTATTTTGATGAATTGTTTGGTGAAAACTTGATTATTCTCATCTCTTGCTGTATCACCTTTTTTTTCAAATCAAAAATCCATATTTAACCATCTCAAATCTTTTATCTTTCAACAATTTCATCAAACTTTAAGGGAGGCTCAAAGATTTGATTCATACCTATTTTTATGAAAGGATTGGACCTCATTGTCACTATAGTTGAATTTGATTAAGGATTTGGTGAAGGATTGGAGATGCTTAAGTCATTGTTTCTTAGATCTGATGATTCTTTATTGATTGTTAGATCACATCTACACTAGTTAGCATTTCATTTTGGAATTTACATGTTGAGGTCATGATCTGATTAACGATATTGTTGTGCTGTCTTTCTCTCTACTTGTTGTAGATTGTTGTTATTTGACAGGTTTGACTTTAAAAAAAGAAGAAGAAGAAAAAAGAAATGGGTATAAGGTTTTCATCATCCGTAGTCCTCTGATCGATCCGTAAAACTCTCATGTTTTGTAGATTTAAAAATAAAAAATAATTTAAAAATTGTCCATTGTTTGACTAATTCAAAGACAAAGGAATCCGATGGAAGCCCTTTTATTTTTCAACTAAATAGATTCTTAATTGTTGTTTTCTTAAGCATCTCCAATCCTTACTTCTCTTTTTTCATTAAATTTCAGTAAGAAATTGGTTAAAACTTGATCTAGTATAGAACACAGCAATCCTTTATCTCTTTTTTTCACCAAATCTTTTTGAAAAATGTCAAGATCATCCTAAAAAAACTGTTTTAACCATTTTTAATGAAAGAAAATTATCTACAATCCTTACTCTTTTTAAAATTTCATCAAATTTAAGCAAAAATATGAAAGTTGGAAATTTGGCGTAGGATTTGGTTCAACCTTGATTTGTTGAAACTTTCGCCTTCCTTGATTTGATAACAACTTTGATGAAATGATTAAAGCTCACTTTTAGCTCTTTATTCATCAAATTTAAATTTGATGAAAGAATTGGTGGAGGACTGGGAATGCTCTTATATATTGATCACTTGGGTTTTAATTTTTGTTAATATTGAATATTGCAGCTGGAAAACTTCCAAGGCATAATAATGTTTCTTGGAGAGGAAACTCTTGTCTGAATGACGGCAAGGGCGACCCGCAAGCCCTAATGAAAGATCTGGTGGGCGGCTATTACGACGCAGGAGATGCTATCAAGTTCAACTTTCCTCAATCTTTTGCCATGACCATGTTGAGTTGGAGTGTGATTGAATACAGCGCGAAATATGATGCTGCTGGAGAGCTTGCCCATGTTAAAGACGTCATCAAGTGGGGGACCGATTACTTTCTCAAAACTTTCAATTCCTCCGCTGATACTATAGACCAGATCGCTGCACAGGTAAATGCCTTGCATTTTTAGGACAATTCATTTGGCAGACTTTTGTGATAAATCATATTTCTTCTTCTAGTAACCTTTGATGTTTTTAACTCAGGTTGTATTTTTCTGTCATTGTTTTCAATTTTTTAAGTCTTTTTGTTAAGGAACAAATGTCCATGTAGTGTTCTTTTTTCCTAGTCCTTCGAGTGTGTTTTTTCGTCGTACTTTTTCAGATTTTCTTGGCAAAATGATTATGCTTCCAGTGTGTAGTTGCTTATAACTTTTAGGGTAAATTACACTGACCTCTCTTGAGATTTTAGAAAAAATACTACAAGCCTCACAAGTTTGGCATAATTGCATTGGGCTCCCTTAGGATTTTAATTTACATACCACTTAGTCCCATTTTCATCCAACAGAAATGTGTCAGTCATATGAATGGAAAATAATGGTGTCATCTGTTTTACACTGAAATGTATATTCCACCTTGTTTATTTTTATGTCGTCACACCATTTGCTTTAGTTTCGGTTCCTTTAAGCCTCACTAAAAGGTAGGTCGGTGTAATTATGCCAAAACTGTGGGGCTGCTTGTATTTTTGTCAAACCTCAAGGGAGGTCAGTGTACTTACCCTCATTTTTAAACCTTTGGGCTATGGTGATTTGAAATCCAGGACATGCAACCTGATTAACCTGCTTTCATATCGTCTCTGTCTGACAGGTTGGAGTTGGGGATACTTCAGGAGGGACAACTCCTAACGATCATTATTGTTGGATGCGTCCTGAAGACATTGATTATGCGCGGCCAGTTGCTGCATGTCATAGTTGTTCAGACCTTGGTGCAGAGATGGCTGCTGCTCTAGCTGCTGCATCTATTGTTTTTAAAGACAACAAGGCCTACTCACAGAAACTTGTCCACGGTGCAAGAACCCTCTTTAAATTTGCTAGGGATCAGCGTGGTAGATACAGTGCTGGTAGTGCAGATGCTTCAAATTTCTATAATTCTACTGGTTACTATGATGAGTATGTCTGGGGTGCAGCTTGGCTATATTATGCTACCGGCAATTCATCCTATCTTCAACTTGCTACCACTCCTGGTATTGCGCGACATGCCGGTGCCTTCTGGGGAGGACCTGATTATGGTGTACTTAGCTGGGACAACAAGCTTGCCGGAGCTCAAGTAAGTGGAGTTTCTTGTTAAAAGTTGTGCTATATAACTATATCATCTCGAAGGCAAATTGATATGCCATAAACACGCGCACATCATCTGCAATAAACAAAAATTATTGGAAAACATGTTGTTTGACTCCTAGAAAAATGGCGATACATGTAGTAATACAACAACCTTTTTACATGATCTCCTCCTCTCTTTTTGTGGGATTCAAATAATATGTTTTCCAATTATTTGTTCTTTGTTGCACATGGTATATGTGTGTGTGTTTATGCTTATGGTATAGTCTTTTTTCCCTTGGGTATTCCAAATGTTCTGTGGTTCTTTGTATTCATTAGAGCTGAACAAGCCTTAAATATAGAGATGCTTAGTTCCTACAGATATGGCAAGAACCATAATCAAAAGATTTGCCAAGTTTCTAAACATTCTTGCTATGGCATTGCAATGGTTGGATACTTCTCATTGGTTCTTAAATGGTTGCTTGTTACCTGATGTACATTTATCATTTTTATGCTATCTTTTCCAACTTAATGTTTTTTAATCAGCCTCATTCTTGGAGTGTGATGTATGTCATATCATAGTAAGTGACATGCATCTCGAGTGTTGATCTGTTCCGTAGAAGTTAGGATTGGACAGGGAATAGCTATGATTGTATGGGAGCTGCTAAAGCATACGTGTTTGATGTGATGTTAAACATGCACTTCTAATTTTTAACTAGAGCAACTAAATGCGCAATTGAAGTTTTGTTTACTTTAGATTCATTGACCACAATATATAATTTTGTTTCAAAGGCTTTGATAATAAAACATTTTGGAGGCATGACCTTTGATTGGATTGGACATAGCAGCATTAGTTTGTAAAATGTCCATGACATTGTTTTGGCCCTTTTGAATATTCTCTGATTTTAATTGGTGCACAGCTTGCTTTTAGAAAATATATACTCTCTCTCCTACCCCTTTCATAAGATGGTTGTGGAAATTCTTCTACATTTTCTTTTTTTTATAGAATTGTGATAGAATGAGTCCATCTTATTCATGATTTCTCCTGCTTCACCTTTATTTCCGTTTTGCTTTCTCTCTTTTCTTGTTTGTTGGATTTCACATCGTAATTTCATATTCATACAACAATAAACAAATTTGAGTAGCTTTTGTTAAATTAGAGTTTTATCACCAAGAAACATAATTTATATATTTTTATAACTTGGCTGGATCTTTAGCAAAAGTTTTTTCTATATAAATGGATTAGCTCTCATTGATACCCAAACTTATTTTTGTTGACTGAAGAACATTGGTGTTATTTATTTCAGAAACCTAATTTGTCATAGATTTTGGAGATACCATGCACTTTCCATTGCTGATGTAGTAATCTCTTGGTATTTATATGTTTAGGTGCTCTTGAGCCGTTTGAGGTTGTTCTTGAGCCCAGGGTATCCATACGAGGAAATTTTAAGCACATTCCATAATCAAACCAGCATAATCATGTGCTCGTATCTTCCATATTTTACAAGCTTTAATAGAACAAACGGTATGCTCATATCTTCCATAACTTCATTTCATGAGTTTGTGTGTGTTTCATGTAAATATGGGATCTAATTGACAATGCTGTGGCCTGTTGCAGGAGGCTTGATCCAATTAAACCATGGAAGGCCTCAGCCTCTTCAATATGTGGTCAATGCAGCCTTCTTGGCTACTCTTTACAGTGATTATCTTGCGGCTGCTGATACACCTGGGTGGTACTGTGGGCCCCATTTCTACTCAACAGATGTCCTGCGTAAATTTGCGGAAACACAGGTTTGTGATATACTGAAGGTCAATATGGTTTTCTCTTTTCCATGTGCATATATATATTTATGCATATCGTTTACCCTAAAAGAAGTCTAGCTAGCACTCACAATTGGAACCACTGATGACCAAAGTCTTAAAAGGCTTTGGCAAGGCTAAGGCGAAATGTATCGAGACTTTGATTTTTAGGCGACACTTTGCGCATCATAGTCTGAGGCGTGTGCCTCAGGAGCGCCTTTTATGCGTTTTGTGCATAAGCAGATGGAGAGCTTGTTTTGAGCTGTTGTTAAATTTAGTCTACTATATATTTTAAGTAAATGACCAACAAAAAACAAATGAAACCAGAAACTAAGGCTCAAGTGGGAAGTTTTATAACTGACGCCAAGTAAGGTTGATTTTTTTTTATCTTCAATGAGGGCAAGTTTCATACTCTCTAGTGCAATGTCCGACACCTTGAGGAGGAAACTATTTACACATTTATATATAATTTTTCATATTTCTTTTGCTATTTACTAAATAAAAAATTCGAAATTCAAAATTCGAAATGCTTTGCGTTATGCATTCACCTACCTTTAAAAACTTTGGCGATGGCTACTAACAATAATTTTTCTTTTTTTCTTCCACATTTTTGCAGATAGACTACATTCTGGGCAAAAACCCTAGAGGAATAAGTTATGTTGTGGGTTTTGGCAAACATTATCCTAAACATGTCCACCATAGAGGTGCATCAATCCCAAAGAACAAGGTCAAGTATAATTGTAAAGGAGGATGGAAATGGAGGGACAGTTCAAAGCCGAATCCAAACACAATTGTCGGAGCCATGGTTGCTGGCCCTGACAAGCACGATGGTTTCCACGACGTGCGTACTAACTACAATTACACAGAGCCAACAATTGCAGGCAATGCTGGTTTGGTTGCTGCCCTGGTGGCTCTTTCGGGCGACAAGACTGTCGGGATTGACAAGAACACCATATTCTCAGCAGTTCCACCAATGTTTCCAACTCCACCACCGCCTCCAGCACCATGGAAACCATGAGATGCCAACGACTCAGTCTTTATCTTTTTTCTTTGTGTCGTGCGACTCTGCTTTAGATGATTTTGCTGCCAAGAGTTTTTGGATTTTCAACACTGAAAGTGAAAGTAATACAAAGAATGAGGAATATGATGGGCATGAAAGCATTGAAGATGGCTGGGCTGGGGACTGTGAACTTGGACTACCATGAGAAAGTGGGTAATTGAAAGTCTCAGATCGTTTTTTTCATTTGTAATTTGTGATATATACATAGCATGTATGTACTAAATCGGTCATGTATTCTTTCAGAAACTAGAATTTGAACAGTTGGTACATTTAAGTTCGTTTACAATAAATCCTAACTAGTCTTTTTCCATGCATGTAGTGTCTTTCTTTACTTGTATGCTTGACTTTTTGTTTACATTTTTTGGTTTGTTAAGTTAAATCTTATGGAAATGGCAATAAATCATGATTTGGGCAAACTTGTTCATTAATGAGGGGAAAAAATCCGAAGGTAGTGTTTGGTTTATTAGAATGAAAATGGAATGGAATAGTTTAGAATGTTCATTTTCATATTTGACTCATCAGAAAAACAATGAAAAATATAATTTAAATAAAAAAATGGTGCTATTTTAAACTCATTGCTTGCATCGTCCACAAATTACACTTGCACTATGCACACAAAAGATTTGCACTGGGTCATAATTTTCACTTGGACCGAACAAAGTTTGCAACTATGTTATTTTGAGTCCTTAAGTTTTCCATAGTGGATTAAAAATAACAATTTTCAATTTAGAAAGTAATTTTAGATAATTTTATGATTTATACTAATTTCAAGAATACATCTCATTTTAATTATGTATTTTTTCTCAAAACAATGTAATTATTGTTTTTTTTGAATTATTATTTTAATTTTTTTATTAAATATATTTAATATTAATCTCATTTTAGGGTTCAATACATTGGCCCGTTTGATATCAATTCTAAGTTAATTTTTATGATTAAATTTTTTAGATTATTACTTTAAAAATTAAAATAAATTGTAAATATGTTTGGTGCATTGTTGGTCGCCGCTGCCGGCGGTTGGTAATGATGAGGTGAACAGATAGGTGACACATATATACATACGTGACATTTAGATAGATAATTGAACAGATATGTGATATTTGGACAAATATGTGTCATTTTGAACAAATAGATAGATAGGTAAACTTTTGGATAGATAGGTGTCATTTTGGATAGATAATGTTCTTTGAGTCCAAAAATATTTATGCTTGTGTCTATTGCCCTAACAATTTTAGAAATCAATTTGTTTTATTTTTTTAGATGTACATAATTTAGATGCATCTAAGAAAATAAAATATTTGTGACAAAATTTGAAGAAAGATTATTAAAGAAAAATAAATGAAACTGCATTTATTTTTATTTTTGCTTCTTTAGTGATTTTGTTGTTTATATTTTAGTCAATTTATTTTTACTTTTTAAGTATACCTAATTTAGATGCACTTAAAAAATAAAATATTGTAAAAAAAATTCACTAAAGATAAAAATAAAAATAAAAATGTATTTATTTATTTTTTTATCTTCTTGTTTATCTTTAGTAATTTTTTTTTTAAAAAAAAAAATAGACTTCACTAATATTCTATATTTTAGACATCTTAAATGTAAATAAAATCTTATTAAAATATGAAGAAGTTACTAAAAACATACCAAAAAAATTCAAAATTCGACCAGACACTATAAATAACTTTGGGGAAAGGGCAAAACTATGGTCCCAGACTTATTCATCCAGAGTTTTTTGGGTGAGTAATTGTGCAGCGAAAATTAAATTTGTATAGTATAGGGTTCATACGTAAAACAAATCTGAACCACAAAATAAAGGTTTGAGGTAATTTTTAGGTTGATAAGAGTGGGTTCATAGTATTACTCTTGGAAAAATATAAAAAACGTGAAAAGTAGAAAAAGTAATTACAAATTCATGTAAGCACGACACTTATTTGCACAATCTACTACATAATATATATATATATATATATTGGAGAAAATAGGAAACATTATATTAATAAACAACAAACATTAGATAAATAAAATCCCAAAGGGTCATCTCAACCAAATAACAAAATAACAAAACAAACAACAAAAATAAAAAATAAATTTGTAAAAAAATGGATACAAGTTAAGAAAAATCACTGATCTTCTCAAATATGTGGTCTAGAAAATAAGATTTGCTTTAAAACTAGTCGTCTTTGTCGACGTCGTCCCTGTCATTACTGCCCAACTCCACCGCCGCCGAACATCGCCAGAAGCTAGAGTTGAGAAAAAAGTACACCCACAATGGTATGAGAGAGAGGCTTGAGAGAGGAGGGAGCCATTGCAAGTGTCGAAAATTCAAAAATCTATGCTGAAATTAGGAGAAAACTTTCAAAATCTCTATTTCGGACATAAAAAGTCCAGATTTATAGATCTACACTCGAAAACTATAGATCTATATTTTAGGAGTGTAGATCTACAGTTTAGAAATATAAAATGGGTCGCCAAAACATTGACAGAATACTACCGAAAATTACCTACAGAGAGAGGCTCCACTTTTTTTACTTTCATGAGTTTGCAATTATTTTCCCAACTTTCCATTTTTGTGATATTTCCTCAATAACTTTCCTCTCTCATCCATTAATTTTAATTAAAAAATTAGAAGAAATACACATAAAAAAAAGGGGGGTTTGACCCTTGTAACAAAATAACATTTAAGTGTTTAATTTTGTAAATTTAAATTCTATTATTTTGATTTGTTTTTCAATTTAAACGACCCACCTATTTGTATTAAGTAAAACTAATGAAAAAATATATATTTTAGGTATATAAAAAATGACTAAAATATCATTTTTCATTAAGTTAAGTGATTAAAATATCTTCTTCTTTTTTTTTTCTTTTTTTTTTTTTTGTATTCAGTTTATTTAATGAAAATAAATCAATGATTTAGATTTAATACAAATCAAAAGATTAGAGTCTAGATTGATAAAATTAAAAATATAGGGTTTATTATGTTAAAATAATCAAATTCTAGGTATTTTTTTCTTCAATCAAGTAGGCTAATTTTTTTTTTTTTTTTATATATTTATTGTAAGGTTTTTAAATACGAGGTTTGGACAAAATACATTAACACACTATAAGTTTGACGTAAATTACATTGGTCTTCGTTACAATAAACACTACGAGTTTTTTTTTTGGTCCCCATTAAGGTTTTAATTCATATAAAACATTTGTTAGTCGTATGAATAAAAAAAAATAACAAAAATAAAAAATAAATTTGCCAAAAAAATAGCTACGAGTTAGGAAAAACTACTGATCTTCTCAAAGATGTGGTCTAGAAAATAAGATTTGCTTAAAAACTCGCCGTCTCTGTCGACGTCATCTCTGTTGTTGCTACCCAACTCCGCTGGCGCTGAACACCGCCAGAAGCTAAAGTTGAGAAAAAAGTACACCCACAATGGTATGAGAGAAGGCTTGAGAGAGAAGGGAGCCATTGCAGGTGTCGCAAATCCAAAAATCTATGCTAAAATTAGGAGAAAACTTTCAAAATCTCTATTTCGAACATAAAAAATTTAGATTTACAGATCTACACTCGAAAAATTATAGATCTATATTCTAGGAGTGTAGATCTACACTTTAAAAATATAAAATGGGTCGCCGGAACATCGGCGGAATACTACCTAAAATCACCTAGACAGAGAGGTTCCACTCCTTTTACTTTTACGAATTTGCAATTATTTTCCCAACTTTCCTTTTTTGTGATATTTCCTCAATAACTTTCCTCTCTCATTCATTAATTTTAATTGAAAAATTAGAAGAAATACACACAAAAAAAAGAAAAGAAAAGGGGTTTGACCCTTGTAACAAAATAACATTTAAGTGTTTAATTTTGTAAATTTAAACTCTATTATTTTGATTTGTTTTTCAATTTAAACCACCCACCTATTTGCGTTAAGTAAAACTAATGAAAAAATATATATTTTAGGTATATAAAAAATGACTAAAATATCATTTTTCATTAAGTTAAGTGATTAAAATATCTTCTTCTTCTTTTTTTTCTTTTTTTTTTGTATTCAGCTTATTTAATGAAAATAAGTCGATGATTTAGATTTAATACAAATCAAAAGATTAGAGTCTAGATTGATAAAATTAAAAATATAGGGTTTATTATGTTAAAATAATCAAATTCTAGGTATTTTTTCTTCAATCAAGTAGGCTATTTTTTTTATTTTTTTTAATATATTTATTGTAAGGTTTTTAAATACGAGGTTTGGACAAAATACATTAACACACTATAAGTTTGACGTAAATTACATTGGTCTTCGTTACAATAAACACTACGAGTTTTTTTTTTGGTCCCCATTAAGGTTTTAATTCATATAAAACATTTGTTAGTCGTATGAATAAAAAAAATAATGTTATCATCTATTTTATATTGAAATGTATATTTTACTTTGTATATTTTTATATTTTCATACCATCTACATTAATTTTGGTCTCTTTAATCTTACCAAAAAAAATATTAGTGTAATTATATCAAAATTAAAAAAAAAAAAAAAAATTTCCCTCTAAACTTCAAAAGTGATCATTATAATTTACCTTCTATTTTTTATTTTTTTTTTTAGGTCTATATTATCTTACTTTAAGAAAAATTTATAACACACCATTCAAAAATAAAAGTTTAATAGAAAGCCACTCTTAAATTATTTTATTCTTCCTATCCACATTCACATGTCCCAAGGGGATAACGCACAGTTTGAGAACCAACTAAAATAGTTAAAAAGTCAGTATCAACAACTTAATTTTTCTCTTTATTTTTTACGGCGGCTGCGACGGCGGCGAGGGACGAGGACGGCGAGCTCGTAGCCTCCTCCTCCTCCCTCCTCCCTCCTTCCTCCCTCTCCCTCTTCCTCTCCTTCCTCTCTCTTCTCTGCGTTTTTTTTTTTTCTGAAAATTTGCCCCCAAAACGACGTCGTTTTGGGGGCGACAGGGGAAGGCGACGGGTGATCCGGATTCAAGCTACATTGACACACTTTTGAATTTATTTGAAATCAGACTGTTACTTCCGGGAGCATCTATTTACACACACCACTCTTTCTCTATACATATCCTTCACACACAACTTTCCAACACGCTCTCTCATTAAGTGTGTGGGAAGAGGAGATATAGTGTGTGCATATAGAAGCTCCCGTCACTTCCTTAATTTTTTGAAATATTACTTACCTCCTTTGTAAAAAAACAAAAAACCTTTCAATTTTTCCCCCCTACAACTCCTTCCAGTGTCTCTCAGCAGCTCTCTTCAACCTCTCTCACGCACACCACAAGCCACCATAGCCAACCACCTGCATTG